TGCAGTCTTTCCACAGGACTTTCTTCACAGGAAACAGTTGGCTTCCTGAAAAGGTAAGGCTGCCGAATTTTATATTAATATATCGGAGTAGTATCGCATACAAACACACACACACACACACACACACACACACACACACACACACACACACACACACACACACACACACACACACACACACACACCTATATATACATATTTACCTTGTATTAGCCTGTACTTGTGAAAGTTAGTATAAGACGCCATTGTAAACAAGTGAGGTTTCCGTTCACTAGCCGTGCACCAGCCATCCATGTCCAGACCTTTGAAATTCTGGAGTGTACAACCACGAAAGCGGCTTAGAGAATCAATCTAAACATCTCTATATCTAGACCTTCTAATTTTTTTTGCACCTCTCAATAATTATGTAGGTATATAATATATAAATAATTATATGGGGGCTCTCGTGGCCTAGAGATAAGGTGTTCGCCTCTCATTCAAAGGTCCCGGGTTCGAATCCAGGTAATGACCGAAATATTTTCTTCTCTAAAATGTTCTCTTTCACCGCCTTTCCTGCTCTCCAGCAATGGGCTTTCGTCTCCACTTTTTGCCCCCACCCCCTCGTTTTCTTTGCCCCCTCCTCTGGGCTCCTGGCGCTTTCTGCAGCCTTTCTACCGCTTCTCCATGGCTTCTTACTGCTGTCTTTCAGCCACACCCCTGATCTTCTGGTAGGAAATATCTACACCTAGTCTTCTCGGACAAGGGTAAAAAACCTCGCAGGTCTCGTGTGCAAGTTGCGCACGTTAAAGATTCCTTGGTGGTCTAAAATCGATAAGAGTGAGCTTCGGCCGCCACTCGGGCAAAATTCACAATTTCCTACCAACTGAAAAGTGTTTGGTGTGTCCTGCGCGCTCATATTATGACCTTATGCAGTAAAACGTATTTTGGTCTTTATACATGTTACTGATAGCCATACAGTTTACTAAGAGTGAGATATCTTTATTAAATTTCGATTTGTGCTTTTCAACACATTTGTCTTGAGGGGGTATTCCGAGAGAAGGAAGACAAGCTATCAAAATCATTTGAAGTATGTGATGAAAATGGTCCACATTTGTTGGCAAATGAATAAACTTCAGAAAACACTTCTTTTAAACTATCTTCCATTGATACAAACGTGCACAGACTCTACGAACGAAGTGTTGCGTTTAATGGCGTCCAGTATATATATATATATATATATATATATAAAACCGAGGTGCGTTATTGTTAATAATGAGCTCAATGTATATTTCATTAAGTATACTAGACAAAAAGGCATTTTTTGGTGAAAGCGACGTAAGGCCGAGTAATATAGGCTACCATTCACAGAAAATTATGGTAATTTCTTTTTGTTGTTGTTGTTATTTTTATATGGTATTTTACTCGCTCAACGACACAATCTAGATCATTTACGAGACGGGCTCCGACTCTTTTTGTCAGGGCCAACACAGGCTGAGAGGGATACAAGGCCCCAGCAGAAAGACCGAGATATTTGAGTAAAATTCTCACTACACGAGACTCGAACTCAAGTCATCTGCGTACAACGGTGAAACTCCTAATCGCTAGAAAATAGAAGCCATTAATACTTTTTTTTCGGTCCTTCTTTAAATCTCACTATAGCGTGTAGTGTATTCATTGTATTCTTTCAACCAGAAATACCCACTGAAAAATAAAGGTTTTCTATCTGCAGCCTTTGATGCTTTATTTATATGGACAAGGCTAGATATCTACAATCGTTGTCCTAGCGCAGACTTTTTTTTTCTCAAAACTTCCAAGTTCATTTTATTAGGATAATTTGTAAAGGCTTTGTTTTCTCCCAACAAAAGAAGATTTGGCATTGACAAAAAGTTTATCAATGAAAAGAATAAAGAAAGCGTACTTGTTTTTTCTATAACTTATTAGTAACAGTTACGATTCGAACTTTTTTTATGTTGGTGTTTTACAGCGCTTGAAACTGCATCAGGTCATATGATCGACCATAACACATTAAACATTTTCAGTTGTTAGGAAATTATGAAGTTTGCCGAAGCCTACTCTTATCGATTTTGCACCACAAAGGGATCTTTAACGTTCGCAATTTGCACACGGGACCTCCGAGATTTTTTACCCTTTTCCGATGAGGCTAGGAGTTGGTCGCACCTACCCATAGATTTAGACTAGTAGCTAGATACAGTACGCCTCTCTCTCTCTCTCTCGCCTTGCTATGCGACGGCCAGATTCGATACCGGCGTCCGCCATGTTTTAGTTTGCAATCTGTGTGAAGGATTCCATGCTAAAGCAATGGGCTAGGCATGTTTTTTCTCTCTCATACGCAAAAGGCGAGGCTTGGCCCTTGCTTTTTTGTTTTACATGGGCGCCGTGGCGTACTTTATCTAGATTACTAGAATCTAGATATCAATAATACAGCTTCCCTTTTACTAATAGCTCTATAAATATATGTATTATTAAATAAACAGAGATAGAAAGGCTTTAAAACAAACAAAAAATAACAGCAAAATAACTTTATTTCTTCATCAGCACTGTATCTACGGGGTGTTTTATTTGTTATTGATTGAATCAAAGTGTACAGGGCCTATAAAACGTTTAAAAAGAAATATGAAAAGTCGTAGGTGTCATGGGAACCTCCCAACCACCCCTACCTCTCTCCCTTCCCGAATCCCATTTCCGGGTCCCCCCCCCCCACCCACCGCCGCCCCCCGTCCCCATCCACACACACACTACAATATATGAGTTTTTGGCATTAAATTACATCAAGAATAGCCATTGAAAAAAACTCCATAGAGGGTCCACACTCACAGAGTGATCCAGTCACGAGAAAAGTATGAAGATTAACCCTATCTGTACGTCGTGTTTTACTATCGTATCTATACGGCGTGGGGAACTCTGTGCCACCACTTTCAAAAGAGGAAATTTACTCGTTAATCCGATCCGCACGCATTGCATAGCAGTCTGTCATTAAAAAAAATTTTTTTTTGGAGAAATACTGAAAGTTTGAAAGAGATCTTCGTACTAGAAGTATTCTAAAATGTGATGAATACAACCCCGGGGATACAAAATGACCCCAGGGAGTACGGATAGGGTTAAGGCAGAGGTGGGTGTAATGTCCATATTGACAATGACACTGACAAAAATTGCCATGAAACATTGATCAGTCATTGACACAGTGCTTGTAAAAGAGATTAGACAAGATGTGACAGTTTAGACAACAGGCAAGGCAAACTTCTTTGAATTTCATCAAATGTTGGTCGTTGTTTTTTCTTGTGGGGGGGGGGGGGGGGGGGTGAAATGATTAGTATTTTTAATAGTAGACTTTATAGCATGATTTGTGATTTACCATGTGCATAAAAGATTAATTAGCATAATTAAATTTAATAATAATGGATGATTTATGAAAAAATATGTCATCCGAGATAATTAAAATGTAATTGACACCAGCTATTTAAATGCTTGCCAATTTATCCACCCTGACTGTTCATCAGAGTTTTTTCTGCCTTTAGGGGTTAGAATGAAGCTCTTGATAAAACAAATTCAGCAAAAACAAATGATGAATACAAGTACTAGTATTTTAAAAATCAAGTTAAACTTTCCTTTGTAACATTTGGACAGGAAACTGTATTTTCCATACGTGTGTCACTTATTTTTTGGAATTATACTAAATAAATACAATGGAAACCATATATAACAGGCCTGGTAATAACAGGGGTCCGGTAATAACAGGGATTTTTAAAATCCCCGTTTTTTCCTACTCTTTGTCTCTATTAAAAGTTATCGGCAATAACAGGGCCTCATCGCAGCCCAACCGGTTATAACAGGAACAAAGGCTCGTTAACAATGTGTAAAAAGTAAGAGAATGAGAGAGAGAGAGAGAGAGAGAGAGAGAGAGAGAGAGAGAGAGAGAGAGAGAGAGAGAGAGTAACGTGGTGATGGAGCAAGCCCACGCAAGCCATGCCACTGCGAGCACACGCAGCGTGAAGCGAGAGACCGCAGCGGTGTGCTGCAGACCTCGATCTAGCCAGAAACCTAGCAACACGCACGCGTAATGTGTCACCAACGATGTTAAGCGCAAGAGAAAATGCCTTTCAATTGACAAAAAATACGAAATAATCCAGGCTGTTGACAAAAAGCAATCTCCACTGGCAGAGATTTGTCGTCAGTTCGACATTCCACAAGGGTCGATTCACAACATTATCAAGGATAGAGAGAAGATAGTGGCAGCATACTCCAATGGAAAGTTTGCTCAGGATCGAAAGAAGATGAGACTATCCGATGCAGAATCTCCGGACCAAGCTCTTCTGATATGGTTTAAGGAGGCAAGGAGAAAGTTGGTCCCAAAACCCTTGTTCGTGGATACTAATGGCAAGGGCAACTACCAATGAATAAGTACAGCTGGATTATTCCACAAATGCTTACTTTCCTTGCATTTCTGATTTAACAGGGATCGGATATAACAGGACATTTTCTCTACTCCCACCATCCCTGTTATATCAGGTTTCCACTGTAGTGGTTTCTGATGTCGGTATTAAAATTTGGTTTATATTGATGTTAAGGACTAAAGTAAACCATTTACAGCACTTAAACTAAAGCTCCTTCTATTGCTGTTTTAAGTAAATCTACTTTTGGACATAAGTAAAACAACCATTTTCTTTATGTGACAACTCTGGGATCACAAAAGATAAAAAAAGAAACTTAATGTGGTTTTGTAGCCTGGTCAAATGTCTTTCAACACAGTGTATTGATAACTGAAATAAAAACCTTAAGTATAAGGTGTTTTTGGACAACATTCAGTTAGACTTACTTGTTGCCACTGAAACTGATCCTCAACGTGTCTGCATCAGTCTAGAATCTAGTAAATTACCTTCCTTAATAATAGCAGAGACACGCACATTCACTTTTAAAAAAACTCCTTGGCCAACTCAAACATGTCCGCAAACGAACTCGGAAGTTTCCGTATCGCGTGACCTCGTACGGTTTCGAGTCGGAAAAGGAGATAACTCCAAGTACCTACCATAAGACCAGGGGTGTGACTGAAAGACAACAGTAAGAAAGAGGCAAGGAGTAGCAGTAAAAAAGTTGCAGAGAGAGTCAGGAGCCCATAGGAGGGGGCAAAGGAGGCGAGGGGGTGAGGGGGTGAGGGGGTGAGGAGGTGAGGGCAGAAAGTGGAGGCGAAAGCAGACAATAGAGCATAATTCGAGAACAGGAAAGGAGAACATTTTAGAGAAGGAAATGTTACGCCCCTATCTGGATTCGAACCCGGGACCTGTGCTGAGATAAATAGATTAGGAATGTAATAAAATGACAAAGTACAATTTTTTTTGTATAGGCCTATCATATTATATGTTTTCAGTTTACAGTTCAATGGCAAAGCTTGAAGTTTAATTTAATGCTGGGAAAGACTTATTTTCTTTGCGACCGTTTCTCTTTACAGTTTGTTTTCTTTGATGAGAGAAGGGGGGAAAGGGTAGTGGTGTGGGGTGGAGGTGGCAGGGGTAAAAAATATAGTTATAATGACGGAATCATACGTTGTGACCCTTGCAAAGGTAAAACAGTGGGTAGTTGGTGGGTGCTCTTGAGTGGTTTGCTCCCCCTTCCCCATCAAACATCTATCGTCCTTATCTCTCCTCCTTTTTTTTGGTGTTTTTTGCTCTCTCGCAACACCTCTAATCTTCGCCAGTGTTATGACCTTACTGTGTTGCAGTGCCGTAACTAAAACCGAAAGTCTCTGATTAGAAGTCCGTGTTTAAGATAATATGAACCAAAGTGTACTATCAGTATTTTGTCTTTGTTCCGTCTTTCCTTTATGGTATTACTACTAATTACTATAGAGCCATTGAAAATTTGCTGTCCCAGATCTGTGTCCTGTGAAAGATGAAAGTCATACGGAACAAATACATTTTCGTTTCAGCGTCCACCATGCCAGACGATTTTTCCCGCCAGTTTGAGGGCCAAGTGGTCATTGTGACCGGGGCAAGTTCAGGTCTTGGGGAAGAGATGGCCCTGGTATTTGCCGAGAGAGGCGCCAAAGTGACCCTGTGTGGCCGGAACGTGGAAAGACTTGAGGCCTCTATAGCCAAGTGTCAGAAAGCAGCGGGAGGCGCTAAAGACAGATTCATCACGGCAATAGGAGACGTCACAGATTCAGAGGTAGGCTACCAATTTTTCTAGTATTGGTTAGGTTTTGTTTTAGTATACTGTTAATGGACTTTAATAAAGAGCAAATTATAGAACCTAGGTTATACGAAAACACGTCACTCATAAACTGAGGATGCGCATTCTTGTCCCTCGACAGTGTGTGTAGTCTTACTGTTTTGTTAGTCACGTCGAGTTTTTCAATTTCATCTTCATTATCTGAAACTTAAAAGGAGGAGGCAACAACCCGCATACAAAGACATATCATTCAAATTCATGCAATTGGTTTGTATATTTGATTATTCTAAATGTGCTTAAAAATTGCCTTGTGTCTGCTGCTGATAAAACATACTACGTTAACGTTGACAATGTACAATGTATGTACAGGGCAGATCACTTGCACTTCTGATATATATCAGAATGAGAGTAAAAGTTCGTGAAAGACGAGAGAAATAACCAAGTTCAAGTCTTTTACTATCTGCACCATTAGTGTGACTACTCGTAAGCGAGTTTCTCAAAAGATGAAGTATACTACATGTTTGTAGAAAACAATCCTGTGCGTACTCATGACAACCAGAACCTAACCTAGCTAAAGAAGTCATCTTTCTCTGAAACAGAATTTTATAACAACAACAACAGCAACATTAACACCCATAACAACAACAACAACAACAACAACAACAACAACAACAACAACAAGAGGCCAGCCCAGAATAGGGAAAGGTGGAACGTGTTTGTCGGTGGCCTATACCCTGGTGCAGGGTGAGAAAGGCAATGATTATGATGACCCAATAAACCCATGACATCAATATATCGGTTTGCAAGTTATTTGCCCCTGCCCCGAAGCACCAAATAGCGATGTGCGATAGATTAGTAGTCCGTACACGGATTTGTTAAAAAAGGACCCTTCGGGGTGGGGGGAGGGTGGGGGGGATGACGCCAATATGACTTGTAGGTTCGTGGTAGATAATTATTAGTCAAGGCAGCTCAAAGAAGAGGGAATACACTTTTGTGTCTTTCGTGTGAAGCCAAGATGGCCTTTCTTTTAACGCAGTTTTTTCTTTGTCCGTTTTGTTTCAGATGAGAAAAAACATAATAAAAAGCACCGTAAAAGCGTTTGGTCGCATAGACGTGCTCGTAGCGAACGCCGCCTCTGTTGGGTACACTGATGGATTTCTGTCCGAAACGGAAGAGTACTTCGATTTAATGATGAACTCCGTTCTGAAGTCTTCGTTTTTCATCATCCAAGAAGCCATACCAGAATTAGAGAAGTCGAAAGGCAATGTGGTCATCATATCTTCGATCGGCAGCACGACTCCTACTGGTAGAATGATTCTGTACGCCATAGCAAAGTCCGGAGTGGATCACATGACCCGCTGTCTGGCAGTCTCGCTGGGTCCGAAAAGTAAGTTGGAAGCTTTGAGGATAGTGTAGTTAGGACTTCCGTAACGAGTGACCACCCCAACAAACACAATAAAGAAGAGACCTATCCCTACCCCTACCTCTACTCCTAACACGTGTACTTCTGTGGGTCGTAGTGTGTGTGTGTGTGTGTGTGTGTGTGTGTGTGTGTGTGTGCGCGTGTGGGTGTGTGCGTGTGTGTTTGTGTATGTGTGTTTGCGAGTATTTGTGTATTTGTTTGTCTGTTTGTTTGTGTGAGAGGTGCGATGTGAGATGTTGGGATGTGTATGTGCGTGTGGGAAGGGGGAGGGAGGTTGTTTGTGAAGAATCGGGTGTACCGCGTCCGACTCTCATACTTTGTATCTTTTGAAGAGACAATTAACTACATTTTAATTTAGTGTTGGGGATGAGCAAGATTGAAAGACCGAGACAAACAGAGGAGCAATAAAAAAAATTGAATGTGCCTGTAAATGCCTTCTAATTCTAACCACTCATAGCCTCTCTGGTCAGAGTGCGAGCTTCCCTTACTTGTCGGGTAAATAATATAGCTGGTGGATATCTTAGTGGTATAAAACAAATGAGGGAGGGTTGGGATTTTGGTGGGGGGGGGGGGGGCTTCTCATATCTCCTAACTCTGGGCTCTTTCAGGAACTTAAAATAGCCTGGCGATGTTTGGTTTGAAAAATAGTGTATCGACGAGATACCAACCATCAGGTGTCTGAAAAAAACAACAACCCCGAGACAGACAGACAGAGAGAGAGAGACAGATAAAACAATCAGGCTGACAGACAGACAGACAGACAGACAGACAGACAGACAGACAGACAGACAGACAGACAGATAAAACAGAGACATTGCAAAGAAACCAGGCCTTTTCATGGCACCCCTGAACAAACTGTTTAATGCGATGATCATCATCCCGTGCCAGATCTGCGACAGACATAGGCGATTATGGTTCTCCATTCATTACTTGGCTTGGATGCTCTAAAAAAGCTATGTTTCCCTGGTCTTTCCCTGTTACCCATTTGTTTAGGTTCCCTAAGTATGTTGTTCTGGGCCTACCCCTGCCTCGCTTGCCCTTAATTTTGCCAGTGAGAGGTTGATGTTCAAGACCCTTATGTCTATTTATGTGTCCCCAAAAACTATATTTGTCGTTTCCTGATTGTTTTTAACATTGAGCGTCCCACGTGGGCTTCATCAAGCACTACCTCATTTGATTTCTTTTCCTTCCGAGATACTCTTAGCAGTCTCCAAATTAACCACATTTCTGTTGCTTCTATTTTCTTTTCTTTAGTGACTGTCCAGCATGCACAGTCATATAGAAGGGTTGACCAGACACAGCATTTCAGAACTTTCATTTTGGTGTTCATTGGGATGTTTCTATTTTTCAGGATTGGGCTCATTTTATTGAAACTAGCCTTAGCCATTGTAACTCTCCGTTTTATTTATGTGGAACATTTGGCATCAGATGTTATCATATATCCAAGATAGTTAAACTGTTGGACTAGTTTGATCTTTTCACCTTTGCTAATGAGATTACAACTAGGCTTTGCTGCTTTTTGGGATATTACCATGCATTCTGTTTTCTTTACATGCAACAATAATCCTTTACGTTCACTTTCTGTTACAACAGTATCTAGAAGCAATTGAAGGTCCTTTTCTGAGCCTGCTATTAAAACTGTGTCATCTGCATACCTGATGTTATTAATCTTTTCTCCGTTTACTTTGAGTCCTGGACATTCTTCTATGTTTCTAAAGATAGTTTCACTGTACATGTTAAAGAGGTCTGGTGACATAAGACATCCTTGCCTCACTCTTCGCCTAATCTGCTTATGTTCACTGTATTCTCCATTAATTCGTACAGCAGCGTAATGCGATGATGCATCTGTTATTTTCCCCCACTTGGATAAAAACGGAAACGTGTGTGATGGTTGGTGGGTTGGAGCCTAGTTGGAGGTAGGGGTAAGGGGGGTGGGGTGTAATTTCGTTGTTGAAAGTTTTGCACTGTCTATACAAGTATGTCCAGGTAAATGCCTACTGTAATCTATACCAAAAAACGAATGTTGCAAAGGAATAGATAGATAGATAGATAGATAGATAGATAGATAGATAGATAGATAGATAGATAGACAGATAGATAGATAGATAGATAGATAGATAGATAGATAGATAGATCGATAGATAGATAGATCGATAGATGGATAGATGAATAGATGGATTCACTGTTTGCAGAATTGGTCGCTTTAATTTTTCATTTATTCAACCACCTCACTTTTTCCGAACTTTAAACCACAGTAAAGTTAGGTTTATCACTACGGAAGGATACAAATGCCGAATCTATATCTTCCCTAAACTTGTATGATATCTACCCATATATCTACCCACAGACATCCGCGTTAACGCCACCAACCCTTCTATTGTCAACTCGAACGCGTTCAGAGACTGGGATAAGAAGCTGGGTATGAACTTCATGGATGCGTCTAAGAAGATTCACGGTCCTCAACACCCGCTGGAAAAGCGCTGTTCCACTGCCAGGGAACAGGCTAACGTCGTGGCCTTTTTGGCTAGCAAAGACGCCCATTTTGTCACGGGGCAGTGTTTAAAGGTTGACGGGGCGTACTCTCTCTACAAGGGCATCTGAGACGGACATACTCATAGACAACGTGAGGGAAGCAAAGATAAATATTGCATGTATAAATCAGAGACAGAAATGATTTCTCTCTTAAGGAAGGAATATGAATGTTTTATGGTGTACAGATGCCCTATATAATAAAATAAAGATAAAAGACATACTTTTGTTGCTCATTTTACTTTTTTTTAAAACCCATTTTCTTATTGATCTGTTCATTGAAAGTTTTAGCACCCTCTGGATTCTAAGGATTTTTAAAAAGCAGGATGTTAATTTAAGAAGTTAGCAAACCTAATATTTTTTTCTAACGAAATGAAGCTTAAATTGTTTTCATCACTTGACATCAACTGATTTTATGAATGAAAAGAAACTCGCACGAGATTTATTTAAGTCTGCAGTCGACTGCAGATGAGTTGATGTCGTCGGGGGAGTTTTAAAAAAGATCAACTCATCCGAAGTTAACTTCCGATGGGACGTGTTAAGAAAAACAGGTGCCCTGGGACCCCGAGACAAATAATTTTAAACTTAGATCTAACTGTTCGAGGACGTTCATTCCGGTTATTCGACAACGATGAAAAGGACGTGCTGTTTTGGGGCACTGAAATACCTTCATTATTCAAATAGATGAATTTTCGTTTTCTTTATCAGCATCATGTATATTGTGGACTATACATCTTGTCAGGGGGGGGGGGTTGAACACCTGAAGAGACAAAAAGGTCTTGAACATCTAGCTCTCACTGGAAAGATTGAAGGCAAACGAGGTAGGGGTATGCCCAGAGCAAAATAAATGGGGGACGGGGAAAGATCAGGGAAACGTAGATTTTTTAAAGAGCATCCAAGCAGCGGAATGAATGGCCCGAGAACCATGATCGCCGATGTCTGCCGCATATCTGGTTCTGGATGATGATGATGATGATGATGATGATGATGATGATGATGATGATGATGATGATGATGATGATGATGATGATGATGATGATGATGATGATATTATTTGTGTTGATGATCTCTGTATGATCGTTCGCATGTACCACAACATGGCATTTGATGTTAGCGGACATATATGTGTCACGACTCGGTGGAACCATGCGCTCGATCGTTAGCTTTTGTACGAGTGGGGTTATTGGAAACAACTTAAAGCTTGTTCATTAGTAGTCTATCTTTTGATATTTTTCTTTACTTTACTTTTCCGATCCAGCGGCTCTTTGGGTTCTAGCCCTTCGTTCTGTCGATATGGCAAAGAATTTACAGGTTTTAATCAGCTGTGCTTTGTCGTTGTATAGAGTATTTTCGATGTCTGGGGAGGCAGGTAGGTAGGGGCTACGCAGGTTGCAAATTGCAGGGCAGTTAAAGAGGCGGTGTGGTACTGTTTCATCCTTACACTTACAGAGTTACAGTACAGTCGCACAACGGGCAGTCGGGTGGGTATCCTTGCAGATCCTATTAAGGTAGGAATTTAGTGGGATGTGTTGTGTTCGCAGGTGAAAGATCATGACTTGTTTTCTTCTACTCAGAGAATTTAGTGCATCTTTTGAGTTGGGGGCTGTCATGTGTGCAAATACAGTTCTTCCAGTTTTGCCTATTGCCCATCCATTCAGCCACTGTTCCCTGGTGTTGCATTTGATGATGTTCTTGGCTGTCTGTTGTGATACTGGGCTATCTCTTGATAAAAATAATACTCATTTATCTTGAATAGAAGTCGATATATTGTTACGATTGAATGATGTGTGGTCACCTAGTTTCAGAGTTAAAACTAACGAGAAAATGACTGTCAAAGTTTGGTCACTTCCATGGCTTGAGAGTCTTTGGAAACTGCACATTTACATTTTTTGTACCTTTGATCAACGTTTTCTTTTCGTAAAATCCAAACAAAAATGTGTTTTTAAATTGATACTGAGTATTAAAGATACTGAGTCAAAAACCAAAGTTCACTAAAAATTGCCAAAGCGGTGGAAAAATGCCGATTTCTTTTTATTTCATTATTTTGACGAGCACCTGATTTCATCACGATGCCTCTCATATGTGTCCAACATGGCCCTAAAGAGTTGACCGAAGAACAGCTCGAGCGAGTTCAACACAAGCGTAGTCAACCGTTTATTTCCAGAATGTCTGATATACATAATATTATTTTTGCTAATATACATAATACACCCGCAAGCAGCAAAACACGATGGTCAGTCGACGTAGCACCCATAGACCAGAATTAATTTTACGAGCCAGTGACGAAATTATGACCAATAAATGCCTTGTTAGGCTCAGGTGCCTAATTAGTGCAGGAGTCTTGGGGTGAGGCTTTAAATGTTTGTTTGTGGAAGCAAAAAAACTCAAACTAAAACAAAAAACAACAAAGAAATATTTAAAAAATAAAAAGACAGAAGGGGGGGGGGGGGAGCAGTCCTGTTCAGATCGGTCCTAATCACTGGACACACCAGGGGATTTTAATTGGTGTACCAGCATGATCTTTTGGTGTCAAGAACAAAAGCTGAAACAAAAACTTGTCCAAAATGACATACGGTCAGTCATCTTGAACACACAAACACTGATAGTCAACATAAAATGTGAGGCAGCGTGGTAGAATCAAGCTCTCGTCAGTTTTTGGGCATGTAGAGTTATTGGTATCATTTTAAAGCTTGTTCATTTGTCTTTATTTGGGTGAAAAAAATATCCATTTATCTTGAATACAAGTCGAGATATTTGAAAATGAAGGCGGTGGGGGTCACCTGTTTTCAAAGGTCAGATTAGTGAGAAAATGGCCGCCAAAGATTAGTTATTTCCTTAGCTTAAGAGTCCGTGGTACCTGAAAATTTACATCTTTTGTGCCCTTGATCAACGTTTTTCAAAAAAGCCCCCCCCCCCAAAAAAAAAAAAAATTTGATAAAAATTCACAAACCTGCGAAAAAATGCAAGTTTCTTCACTGATTATTTTGACGAGAGCCTGATTCCACCACGCTGCCTCACAAATAGTATAATGATGAATTACTATGTCGATCGATTAAAGTCAGGGTATTATGAAGCTATCGTCCGAACTAATTCCATTAATTAATATTTACATATATTTATTATGTGTCATGTCCAGCTTAGCTTGCGTTTGTTGGCAGGGGCACTGAGCATTTTTTTTTTCTCATACATTTGAGTAATGACAAAAATATAGATAAGTCGGCGAGGTACAGCGTAATTTTTATTTCGCTGACAGACAGTTTGAGCGAGTGGTAATATCTGACGAAAGTTCTTGCAGTCTTTCCACAGGACTTTCTTCACAGGAAACAGTTGGCTTCCTGAAAAGGTAAGGCTGCCGAATTCTATATTAATATATATATACACATATCTACCTTGTATTGGCCTATATTTGTGAAAGTTCGTTTAAGACGCCATTGTAAACAAGTGAGATTTACGTTCACTAGCCGTGCGCACTTTTCCTCAAATGACCATCAATAATTTATTTGAAGATGCAGCCATCCATGTCCAGACCTTTGAAATTCTGGAGTGTACAACCACGAATGCGGCTTAGAGAATCAATCAATATATCTCTATATCTAGACCTTCTAATTTTTTTAGCACCTCTCAAGATATATATGTAGGTATAAAATGTATAAATAATTATATGGGGGCTCTCGTGGCTTAGAGATAAGGTGTTCGCCTCTCATTCAAAGGTCCCGGGTTCGAATCCGGGTAATGACCGAACAATTTTCTTCTCTAAAATGTTCTCTTTCACCTCTTTTCCTGCTCTCTAGCAATGGGCTTTCGTCTCCACTTTTTGTCCCCACCCCCTCGTCTTCTTTGCTCCCTCCTCTGGGCTCCTGGCGCTTTCTGCAGCCTTTCTACTGCTTCTCCATGGCTCCTTCTTACTGCTGTCTTTCAGCCACACCCCTGATCTTCTGGTAAGAAAGATCTACACCTAATCTACTCGGACAAGGGCGAAAAACGTTTAAAAAGAAATATGAAAAGTCGTATGTGTCATGGGAGCCTCCCAACCACCCCTCCCTCTCTCCCTTCCCGAATCCCATTTCCGAGTGCGTAGAAAAAAACTCCATAGAGAGTCCACACTCACAGTGATCCAGTCATGAGATTAGTATGAAGATTAACCCTATCCTTACGTCGTGTTTTACTATCGTATCCATACGACGTGGGGAACTCTGTGCCACCACTTTCCAAAGAGGAAATTTACTCGTTAATCCGATCCACACGCATTGCATAGCAGTCTGTCATTTAAAAAAATTTTTTTTTTGAGAAATACTGAAATTTTCAAAGAGATCTTCGTACTAGAAGTATTCTAAAATGTGAAGAATACAACCCCGGGGATACAAAATGATCCCAGGGCGCACGGATAGGGTTAAGGCAGAGGTGGGTGTAATGAATCTTTGTCCATATTGACAATGACATTGACAAAAATTGCCATGAAACATTGATCAGTCATTGACACAGTGCATGTAAAAGAGATTAGACAAGATGTGAGAGTTTAGACAACAGGCAAGACAAACTTCTTTGAATTTCATCAAATGTTGGTTGTTGTTTTTTCTTGGGGGGAGGGGGGGGGTGGTGAAATGATTAGTATTAGTAATGGGTGACCTTATTTAGGCACACTGTGGCCTAAATAAGCTAAACCCCCATCCCTTACCTTATTTAGGCCACACTGTGGCCCAGATAAGCTAAACCCCCCTCCCTTATCTTATTTAGGCCACATCATATGGTAGATTTCTTGAACTAACCATGGATTCGGAAGGCCGAGATTCTACTGATCTTTTTATTTAGTACATGTAGATCTAGGTTTAATTTTAAGGATTGATGGACCCTGGAGTCAACGTAGTGAAATAGGTAGGTTTAAGGTGGACCCCAGGGTCTACCTAACGAAATACTAGTTAGGTTTTAGAATAGGTGGACCATGCGGTCACGTAGTAAAATTAAAATAAGTAGGTTTAATAACGGTGTCCCGGGGGTCCACCAATCCTTAATTAAACCTTCTTATTCCTCTACGGCTATGGTGACTCCAGGGTCCTCCAAACCTTTTAAAATTAAACCTACTTATTTCATTACGATGACCCCGGGGTCCACCGATCTTTAAAGAAACCTACTTATTTCACTACGGTGACCCCGGGGTCCACTGATCATTAAAGAAATCTACTTATTTCACTACGGTGACCCCGGGGTCCACCTGTCCTAATACCTAGTATTTCGCTAGGTAGACCCTGGGCCCCGGGGTCCACCATAAACCTACTTATTTATCACTACGTTGACCCCGGGGTCCACCAATCCATATTCCACTACGGTGACTCCGGGGTTCACATCCTAAAACCTAGTATTTCGCTTTGCAGACCCCGGAGTCCACCTATCCTCTACAGGACTATACTATTTTCAATTTGCAATTTTCATTGATTAGCATACTTTAAAAAAAATATTGAATCAGAGACTCACTGTCTAAAAAGTCCCTGCTAATGCTATTCTTATCAAAGAAAAGGCACAATTTGACTTTATGACATGTTAAATAAAATAAGTAAAAGACTGAGCAGAGGCTTACAATGTAAATTCTGTGCTCTACAAGTAGAGAAAGTCTTAAGTTTGTGCAAAACAGATTTTAGAAAAAAAAGTTGGATCTATAGATCTAATTATTATTTTAAAAAGTAAAAGTGATTGTTATAGCGAGATTTGTTACTATTAACTCTGGAAATACAGATAGTTGCTGAATCTAAAATTAACTAGAATTGTGCAATTTGGTTTATTTCAATTCCAAAGCACAAAGGCATAGCAATGAGTCAGATCTAGATCTAGCAGTTGTAGGCTCTCTGGCTGCTTCTAGCATAGGCCTGCTACTACTGATTCTAGACAGGGAATCTAGATCTAGCTATCACCTGCACTATTAAAGTCAAATTTATGGTAAAATAAAAACAAAATTGTGAATCACTTTGTCAGTCAGTACATCCCAATTGCCCTAGCCGCACGTATTAATAGTTGAATAATTATACCGAAGCAACACGTTATCACAGTGCGCAGGGGAGAGCGAGGTGCCCTCGTCGCTGACCGGTCGATTCGGTGGTTCGGCTTCTGTAAATCTATGCAGTTTTTACGGAAAGCCCTATTACTAGATCTATTAGTGTTGCGAAAACTTCAACCTCTACAGCTAAGGCGTCAAAAGATGTTGGAAAATAATAATACGTCCTGAAGTTATATGATTTATAAATAATAACACAGCCAGTAGTTTTTATTTCATCGAGTTATAAAAATGGTCTTGTAACTTGTTTTCAGAAGCAAATTTTAATAGTTCCAGTTTTACGGAATCGATTTTCACGCAAATTCAAACATTTTTATGACCTTTCTTTTCCTTTTAAAAAGATGTAGGCCTGTCGGATGTGGCAGTGCGATTAAGACTAAGTTGTTTAGGCCGATCACAAAGGTCTAGGGGGCTTATCGAGGCCGATTCGCCCTGCCGCGTGCACGTTCACTAAACTGTCTACTAGATAGAATCTACTACCAAAGATTCTCTACACGATCTTTGCTACTACTACTACTACTACTGGATCTACATGTACTACTACGAGACAGTACGAGAGAGTGCCACCCAGGCAAAGATAGTGTAACTTTGACTCAGCCACGTTGTGTACACACTTTTTATACCCCAAATTTGACCCAGAAGTCCATTCGGAGGATTTGACCTTTTCACTTGACCAAAGTGTGCCAAAATGGTAGCCTAGATTTTGCCCCTCCATGAAGGAAAAATCTGGCCCTCATTCAAACCATTGAGATTGAGCAAAATTTTGCGTATCGTGCTTTGTTCTTACAATATTCATTATGATATATATATAAGTTGTACACTGAGACAAAACTGTACTAAATGAGAAAGGTGCACCATTATGAAAGTGGAACGAACTCAGTTGCCTGAAAAGGGTGTCCCCCGGTAGTTTGAGCATGTGTGGCCTAAATAAGCTAAACCCCCCTCCCTTACCTTATTTAAGTCATATGTGACCTAAATAAGCACTCCCTGAGTAATAGTAGACTTTATTGCATGATTTATGATTTACCATGTGCAAAAAAGATTAATCAGCATAATTAAATTTAATAATAATGGATAACTTATGAAAAAATATGTCACCCGAGATAATTAAAATGTAATCGCACCAGCTATAAATGCTTGCCAATTTATCCACACTGACTTTTCATCAGAGTTTTTCTGCCTTTAGGGGTTAGAATGAAGCTCTTGATAAAACAAATTCAGCAAAAACAAGTAATGAATACATGTACTAGTATTTTAAAATTCAAGTTAAAATTTCCTTTGTAACATTTGGACAGGAAACTGTATTTTCCATACGTGTGTCACTTATTTTTTGGAATTATACTAAATAAATAGTGGTTTCTGATGTCGGTATTAAAATTTGGTTTATATTGATGTTACGGACTAAAGTAAACCATTTACAGCACTTAAACTAAAGTTCCTCCTATTGCTGTTTTAAGTAAGTCTACTTTTGGACATAAGTAAAACAACCATTTTCTTTATGTGACAACTCTGGGATCACAAAAGATTTTTAAAAAAGAAACTTAATGTAGTTTTGTAGCCTGGTCAAATGTCTTTCAACACAGTGTACTGATAACTGAAATAAAAACCTTAAGTATAAGGTGTTTTTGGACAACATTCAGTTAGACTTACTTGTGGCCACTGAAACTGATCCTCAACGTGTCTGCATCAGTCTAGAATCTAGTAAATCACCTACCTTAATAATAGCAGAGACACGCCCATTCACTTTAAAAAAAAACTCCTTGGCCAACTCAAACATGGCCGCTAACGAACTCGAAAGTTTCCGTGTCGCGTGACCTCGTACGATTTCTAGTCGGAAAAGGAGATAACTCCATGTACCTACCATAAGACCAGGGGTGTCACTGAAAGACAACAGTAAAGCCCCATTTAGACGTACAGTTCGCTGATCGACAAACTATAGGATATCGAGAGGATGGCCGGCATCCTGTCAATTTCACGTGGAAACTGAGCAATTCTCTCGATATCGAAGGGTTCTCTGTCCAACCACCAGGTATCTGGCGACGTCAGATATTTGCCGGCCGGCGAACCGAAGGAGTGACGACGAGGGAGCGGCTTCTTTGATGTTACCGCAGGCGCAGTTGAAAATATATTCCAAATATTTCCTAAACATTCGTCAAATCAAAAAAAATATTAAGATTTTCGTGATCAGCGACCCAAAATTAGTAAATTGACGCGCGGAGCGCAATTTAATACCGGATTACCAAGTTAAATAATGTTTGTGCGTTTGCTTTTGAATTACCATTCGCCCGCCCTTCACTTTTGAAAGTGAAGGCAAAAAATGTACCGCGTGGTGTGTAGTATACTGCTGAGATGTGTAGGAGTCAGCTGAGGGCTACACACCACTTAACTGGACCTAGATCTAGATCTAGATCCAGATCTAGATTTAGATCAGAAGGCTATGTTTGATGCGCAGCGAGCGAGAGATATCAAACCTAACGGCAAAACATCAAATTATGGTAAAGTGCCCCCCCCCCCCCCTTGAAACCCCCACCATATTCTTATTAGATTTCTAGCTGCCCCCTGAAACCCCCTTACATCTACTCTTGGGACCAAAACCGGCGAATAGTAATTGGGAGGGGAGGTACTGAAAAAGTAAACTGTTCTACAGTTCATCGAACATTATCGAACGT